TAAACACCCATTTTATACCACAAAAATAAATCTTTCCCTTGTAAAAAACCTTCTCCCTTCCTATCTTAACCCACTGTGCACCCCATCTAATGACGGGTTAAATGTCTTTTGGAACTTTGCAGCTTGAACTCAGCCCTGGACTCTCTGGTCTCCTCATTATTATTGATCCAAGATTTATGACAATTAATAATAGGTATGAGTTCATCCAGAATGTTGGCCACTTCCGTTCCCGTTCAATTAAGAGGGTTCGAAAAACTCTCCACAGGAAAATTATGACAAACTATAGTTTAAGCCAGATTTATGCTGACAGCTTCCCATTATCTTGGGTATCTTTGGAGATTTCTAAGCTAGTTTTATGGACCACCTAGATGACGTAATCAAGCCTAGGCAGCACCTTGCCAAATCCTGATCTTCTCGAGGGCAGCTGGCACATGGCTTCATCTCCTTAGATTTGTCAGCTGTCCTGAGCTGTCTGCCTTTGTTTGCAGTTCCTTTCATAGGCACTCCTGCTCCTTGATTTTGTTTTTCTTTTTTTGCGAATAATAGAAGGACATGGAGATAGGCATCAGGACCTAGGCACAGGCTCGCTCATAGCCTGACTTTGGTATCTCTCTTGTCTTTGTGTGGCATTTGGTGTGGAACAAAGGCTGAAATGAAGAGGAAAGATAGATGCCCATCACCTGTCCTTCAGGCAGAGCAGGATTCAATTTTTATTCTTTTTTTTTTTTTTTGGCAAATGCCTTTTGTATGGAGAGATCACTCCTGATCCGGCTGTCAGGCGACCTGAGGCAGTGGCTTGTGCCGGTTTTTAAATTTATTTGCATGGAAAATATTGAAGAAAATATATTAGTTATGAAACTTGTATTTAATATTTTATATTTTAAAGCAAATACAAAATTTAATAAAGGTTTTAATTTTGGTAATTAATAATTACTTGATATATATCAACAAATTTCCACAGTTTCAAGTTTCAGGAAGTCTAAAGGCCTTTTTAAAAGCCTTTTAATTTTTATCGACATCTTTTTACACTCTATACTTTATATTTAAAGTCTATATATTTTTAAAATATTTTTTTTTTTCAGTGCCTTGAGCACAGATGTTCTTCCGCCAAAAGCCACACCTGATCGAAAGGCGTGCTCACGGGCAACGCTAATGCGCCACCTACTGCTACCGGGAAAACAATGAAAAACAATGGCCATTAGAATTGAAAAACTGCGCAAAATGCTAGGGAATACCTTGCCTGCTGGGCAGGTCACATCCTAGGCGCTCGCCAAGGATTCATTTCGAGCCGCAGACAGGAGACAAAAGGACCTCATCGCAGGACAATGCTAAGCCAAATTGTATGGCTTTCTAACGACGTCGACGGCAACGACGGGTTATTTATTCCCCATCAAGAAACCAAAACCTGAAACCAAACCCAAAACTAAAAATAAAATATTGTTGCCATATTCGAACGAGACCTTATCGTTTAGCACCTGCCTAGCGTCATCTTTGCCCAACCAAATATCTAGAAACTGAGCAAATAACCCATTTTTTTTGTGGTAAATATGCTCATGTCATTGAAAATCACGATCACCTTGTCTAGGTAGCAGATGGAAAATGGGAAAGTGGTTAAAATTCAGGTGCCCAGACGAGAACGTGTCTGAATTTATCTAACATTTATGTTTTCCTGCGGTCGTCGTGGTAATATTTGTTTATAGTCCGTCAACTATTTACCTCGTTTTTATTTCTCTGTTTTTTGTGTGGCAACTGCTTAACAAGTGTCTGTCTATATTTTTGGGTATTTTTGGATGAGTGTAACCCTTGAGGCTTATATACGACAGATAAGATAGTTTTGTGGTTGATAATTTTGGTTATCCTTTTCACTGATATGACTATCCATGATTTTTGTTTAAACAGATTGCCTGGGGGATCTGGTTTACCTCTAAATAAAAGGTATAGAGTTGTGGGGGAAAATATATTCTTGAAAGGATTTCAATTTTAAGTATAAATAATATTGTATTTATTATAAATTTATGAACATTAAGTATATAAGCAAGAGAATGTTGAATTCTGATGGGTAACTAACCTTGCTGATGAGTATTTGGAGGAGGAAAAGGAAATACAACACCTTCTGCTCTTGTCTTTTGGTTAAAACTGTCTTAATTTATACATGACATAGCATAGTTTCTGTATTGTTAAAAAATCATGCGTCTTAACAACTTAATTAAAGAAAAAATTCTTTAAGAAATTATAAAACACCTTGTATTTCCTACAAAACATACATCTCAGTTTCCCTTCTCATATTTTTATTATTAAAAAAATCCTTTATAAATTCTGTAATACTGTAATAACTACATGTTCCCCTGTAAAACCAGCAACATCTTCATTTGGTTAGGAACATCCATCCCATCCTCTCGATAATCATGGGTATATAGCCCCTTAGCTCTATTGTACGCAAATCTGCACCAAATTTATGCAAATTGAAATTCCTGAGCAACACCTGGAAGACACCGGAGCACAATTGTCCCAAATGTGATGAATGTGCTGTAGAATGGTTTTGCTTCTTTTATTTTATTTTTCTTATATTTTTTGATGTTGTTGTCTTGGCTTGGAACCAGAACACGGGCCAGACAACTTGGCGCGCAGAGTACATACAACATACAACAAAAGTGTAGCAAAAGGCAAGGTGTCAATTCTGGGAAATCTGCCCAGCGTGCAGACAATGCCCGAGAGCACAGCGGGTAAGCTGCCGCCCCTTTGCTCTTGGCCAAGAAAGTGCCTATGGTCATGGCTGTGACTGTGCAACGATCCTTTTGGTGACAATGACAATGGTGCATGGGGAGAAAAATCGGTTTAAATTGATTATTTTTTAGTGCAAATGAAGAACTGGGAATTAAAAGTATTTTTCAAAAATTAAAATTAGAATTTAAAAATTTTGAAAATGTTCGTTTTAATAATAAATTAAATAAATAAAAAAAAATATGTGTAATATATTTATTTAATAAGAAAACCAATAACATTCTTACATAAAATAATTCCTAAAAATACCCCTTAAACCCACAAACTTCCTAGTTAAATTTAATATTTTCCTCCAAGTGTATGGTGAGATCGGGCCATAACGAAGCCGCAGACAACATTATTGTCATCGGACTGGCAAAAGTAGTCCAGTGGGCTGTGGGAGAATCCTCTAGTAGCGCTCCAATTTACTTCGTCCTCCAACTCACTTATTCTTCTTCCCACCGCCAATTTGCATTTGCCCCTTTTTTTTCCATGGCTAAAAATCACTTTGTTCGCTCTCTATTGCACTTTGCTTTTTGCGGGGATATTTATTTATCTAGTAAATGCGGATGATTTTGCATAATTTATAAGATTTACCTGACTTTTTTTTCTGTCTGCCTAAGCAGTGGCATTGTTGTCCCTGACTTGGACATCTTTTTACTGTTTGTTGGGAATAATAATAATAAAAGGTAAGTTATATGTAAAACAAGGGGACTGGGGTTCTTTGGTGATACATTTATTAAGCTAAATTTCTTCTTTAAATTATAATAAATATTTATTTATCCGATATTTAGGGAAATTAGACTAGGAATATCTTGCAATATATTATTTTTTGAGATATATTCTTTAATTTCCCTTAACCGCTTTACATTGAATTTCTAAAAAACTATTGGTGTGTAACCATTTCACACTTGTTCTCAATTTATTTTCAAGAAAAAATAACCTGTTAACAATGCCCTAGCCGAGACAATGCCAAAATCTCAATTGGTTTTTCTGGGAACGGAAACGTAGTGCTGTACAAATAAATTAAAAGTGGAAATAACTAACAATACTGATCCATGTAGGTGTCCTTTTGCAGGCGTGTCAATTTACTTCCGTTTGTGCTCAGCAGATTTCTTTATATTCATTTTTATATATTTTTTAAGGTAGCAAGTCCCTTTGCAGGTGTTCATCCGTAGGTACGTATTACTTTGGCATTAATTACTAACCAAAGCGATGGATAATTGAAACATTTGCGGGCCTGTCCCAGGCATTTCCCTAAGCCAAATAGATGGCTTCCTTCCAAAACATTTTCAAATGCCCACGCCCACTTAAGTGGGGGCTTCGGTGGAAAAACCAGTAGCTGGATCTCCAGCTTTGGCTTAAGGTGGAGATCAGGCTGAGGCCACTAAGCCAAATTGCGGCTGGGCCGTGGTTGCAATCAAAACCATCAGCGGTTCCACGTCGTCGACGTCGTCGTCGTCGTCATCATCATCGCCGCAAAACGTTGCCCTGGCCAAGATTGATCATCGGGCCTGGCCTGGCCCAAGCTCATCCATTTTTTTTAGCCTCCTCCTTTAGTTTGTTGTTGTTGTTGTATCTTTTTTTTCTTCTGGCTTGGCCCAATCAGCCACACCCACAAGATGTGCAACGCTCATATTAAAATGGCTTAAAAAGGCAACAGCCAGCGCTGAAAGTGGCAAGACACAACAATAACCGAGGCGACCCGCCGCCGGAGATCTCTTAGATGCCTCGCTTCCGTTCCAGCTGCTGCAAGGTGTGTGGCACCTCTAGCTTTAGCTTCATCGGCGGAAAACGAGGCCCAAACCAAAACAGTAGCCTGCCACTGCCACCGAAAGCGCAACAATTGGCAATTTCATTTGCTGCGCCCCCAAAACGCAGCTCCAGCAGGTACGCAAAGTCGCCGGTGTGGATAAGGTTGCCTTGCCTGATGGTTATGGTGGGTACAGTGATCACTGGCAGAAAGGAATTTTATTGTAATTTTTTAAGGCCAAAAATTAGTTATTTAAGGTTTATAAAAGGACTTAAAGTGGTTATAAAAGGCTATATTAAAATGACGCCTAAACATTTGAAATATTACACAAAACGGCATATTGTTTAATATTTTAGAGAATATTATTAATTTTAGAGAATATTTTAACTATACAAACATCAATCATAAAATCACTTCACAGTTTTCTTTGATTTACAATTTATTTTTAGTAATTTTTAAAATATTTTTTATATATTTTCTCCAACTTTTTAGTTCACTATAGCTTCTTTCCACAGTCCCCCGTCTTCCATTCAAACTTTCTACGACTGCGACACGCTGTGTGATCTCTATGAACATGGTCGAAATGGTGGCTTAGTGGAGAAGGTAAAGAGCAGGAGGAGGCCTGGAGCTAAGCCCATGGTGTGCAGTGCATAAAAGCTGGCGGTGCTACATCATCGTCAAAACCGTCGAGTTGCGACTTCGATTTCCTGTGCCTGGGATTGACGTCTCCCAGGTCACTTGCCACAGCGTTTGGCTGCATTCGTAATTGCTCCACAGAGCAGCGAAAATTTCCATATGATAATATTTATTCGCTGGAATATGCCTCCATCTCGAGTCGCGTCGGCTCAACTGCATCTGTCGGTTGGTCCTGAGGAGGAGGAGGAGGAGGAGGCCTACGCCTGCGCGCCACGCAATAGTAGACAGGGAGAAAAATCAGGAAGAATTTTAATAGAATTTAATAGAATTTTTTTGTTACTTTTAAAATGCTTTTAAAATATTAATTTAATGAATAAAGATATATCTTTTAAATTTCTTTGACCTTTTGTAATGAATACCAAGTATCATATTTTTTCAATTATATTTTTGTTAATATTTTACCGAATTTTTTTCTGTATAGTTACCTTTGTTTTTGTTGCCTATTTGACACTGCGCAGGCGGCGAGGATGCTCTGCATCCAACTCCAAGCTCCCAACTCCATCTCCAGGCTCCCATTCCGATTCCGAACTCCAACTCCTAGATGTGTGGGTGGTCGTTTGAATGCCCTGCCCGGCTGCAAGTCTTTCACCCAACTCCTAGCCTCGTGTTCGCATTTCTTGTTGTTGTTTTGTATTTCCATTTTCCATCTTTCCGAGAGGCCAATGCTTCCACTTCTTCAATCGATTTGAGTTTTATTATCTGGCTGGCATTTTAGTTGAATTGTTAGCTTAGTTTACGGGGCCTGCTCCTCGGAAATGGCAGGCGGCTGTATCCATGTGTGGATTATGCAAGGCAAACGGAGCTTGGAATCTGCATTTCTAGGCATTGGGTTTGGCATATGGACGAGTTATTTGGCTGGGATAAAGGCTACAAAATTAAATTGTTATAGAAGGTTAACAAATATATAAAAAGGAATATTAAATAACAGTAATTTGCATTCCAAATACCCCATTTAAAGTACAGTTCCATAAACTATTTCCTAAAATTTTTCTAACTACAAACTGCACCTTGCACCACAATTATAAACCCGCAGCAGAAAGAGCACCAAAAATAACCAGGAAGCCACCCCTATAAGTAGCTCTAAAAATTAACAAACTAAAAAAAATAAACAGGTAATTAGGTCAAAAGCCTGATCCTATGCTCTCTGGCCGCAGAGTGTCGCCGGCACGCGTAATGAACCTGTTCGGGAGTTGGCCGACAAAGGGACTCGCCTGGAATTTCTAATAAATTTCTAGACGTCAAAACACCACGCGCCTGCCCGTCGTCATCGTCGTTGTCGTCGTCTTGCTCCTGGCCCAACGCAGGTATAACCCGAATTTTAATATGCGCCCCAGCACACCCTCATGTCCGTCTAGTGTCTAGCGGTGGTGATGATCTTTTGGGCCAGGCCAAGAGTTCAGTGGTGCACGGAAATGTGCGGGACAGGGCGACGGGCGTCGGGCGACTCCAGACGAGAGACGACTGTCGCGCGTCGTTGTTTTTAATAATATCCGCTCACCCCGACTTACCAGTTTATATGGATAGTATGTCTAGGGGTTTCTATTTGAATAATTAGGAGCTCGTGCCCGACGCGTCGCCAGTCGCCCGAGAAGGCCCACTTGCATTCCTGTGCACTTTGCATAACGTGTCCTGCGCCTGCTTTGCAGTCCTTTTTCCTACTCCGCCTCCTGTTGCCAGTCATTGAAGAGGAACAAGTGCTTAGTTTGGGTCGAGTTAGTGGGCCATGCAGTGCAGTGAGAGAAAATATTATCAGTTGATTTATATATATAACTTCCAGTCAATAAAAACTCGGTCTTAATTCGGAACATGGCACAGCTTTAAAAATCTAATTTAACTTTAATTGAAATTTAAATATATTTAATTTATATATTATTGTTATTTTAAATTTTAATTTTAGTAAACATAACTTTATTTTTTTAGAGTGTCGGAATATGATGCGGTCAACCTTGTCCAGAAGGGGTGGATGCACTGAAGCGGCGCATGCCGGCATATGTTGCCTTCGAGGTGTTGCTGCTGGCTCGTGGCAGCCACCGGTCACTAGCACCTGGCTGGGTGGCAATACTAAGAGATGTAGAGGAATTTTAGAGTTGCAGTTTAAGGGGGTCTTTGAAATCTCTCTGAAGGAATCCAGCATAAAACTAATAACATTCTCATTGACAAACATTAATATAAGTGTTAAATTTATATTTTAAATAATGCCAACGAATTTATATTCCTAAAATATACATTTTTCTAAACGTTTTCTATTTCAAGAACATCCCTCACCCCAGCAGGCTGTGACTTTCTACTAAAAACCTTTCAAACTTTTGACAAATCCAATTGCCAAACAGTCTTCAACAGAAACGGTTCCTTTCTTCTTTAAATTTCAACCAAGAAAATGTCTTCGGATACTGCCATTGAAGTACCTATCCAGCCTTATGCTGGCCAGCTGCTCATCATCAAGGATCTGGTTCAACCCAAGCCAACGGAGGCTGGGACACGGGTTTCCTTCTTCGAGCGCAGTGTAATAACCAAGAAGCTACTCAAGCAACTGGCCCTAGTGGAGGGCGGCAAGAATGAAAAGATCAGCATGCTTGGCTACGAACCTGTAGTGGATGGTGTCCTGGATGCTTTAGAGGCCTACATGAAGCTCGTTGTCCAAAAGGTCGTCGAATTGTGTGAGCATCGCTGTGGCTATAAACTATATATGAGCAATCGTTTTGTGATAAAAAACGATGTGCGCACCACAATGACCTTCCTCCATGATCTGGAATTGGCGGACTATGGTTCGTCGGACGATGATGAAGGCTTCTATCGCAATGTAGCCGAACTGGATGATCGCAAGGAGCGCAGGAATCGCAAGGAACGGAAGGAGCCCAAGCAGCAGCACAGGGAGTCCAAGCCACAGAAGAATCCACATGAGGAGAAGGCCAACATTCGTGGTCTCAAAGCCTCGGCAGATAGCATAGCCATGTTGGCCTTTGGTTCCCGAAAGCGTCCGGCGGCAGAGGCTTCTAAAACCAACACTACAGCCGCTGGTGCCGCTGCCACTTCAAATGGTTCCAATGCCCAAAAGGTGGTACCACCGGTGGTGCCGCGTTTTAAGCATGTGACCATCAAGGATGTGTTGCAGTTTATGGAGGAGGACAAGCGCTACTATCGCTCCAATATGCTACACGAAGCCTATATGAAGTATACAACTTAGGAAGGGGTTTTAATAAAAAGGAAAACCTATTTCTAAAGCTGAATATAAGCTATATGATATCAAAAGGATAATAGTTATTTTATTTAATTTTATCTTAATTAATTTATGTTTTCTGAAGAGTTCAAAGTATTCTAAAGGCCTCCTAAAAAACCCTCTTATTTCTCCTTCTCCCTGTTCTGATTTTAATTGCAACCAATTCAGTTCAATGAACTTCCTTTCCTCTTTGCCCAAAAGGATAACCCCAAACAAAAGCCCAAGGAAACAGGTGGTACATGGGGCTCAGGCACATGTGTGTGTATGTCTGGTGTTATCCTTTTGTTCGGCTGCACTTATGTACATAGGTCCCCGAATGCCAGTATTTCAATGGATCATCGCTACGTTCCGTGCACTTTGAACTTTTGTGAGCTGCACTGCTGCAGACGGCGACAATGGAGTGCGGGGCACTCAAAGGAATATCCGGCGGGACAGGAAGCATATGGAGGCACTGCGGTGTATAGGAAACGTGATGCTATCGGCTCAGCTCATTATGTTTAAGTGCTGGCAATAAAATCAATGCGCACACGCGGCGACACATTTCATTGAACTTCAATTGAAGCCGTCCCTAAACTCTGATCGCTCACGTATCTAGCCGGCGACATGACCGAGGATCGTGCTGAAGAACCTCACTCTCCAGTATAATAGGGTTTCAGCATTTATTTCCATGTAATTGTGGGCATTGCCAAAGGGTTTAGTGCGATTATAAATGCATTGAGGTTTGGAATATGTAAGTAAGCACCTAGGAAATTAACAAGTCTGGATGGAGGAGCTGGTGTCGCCCTTTGATCGGTCTTATTTTGAGAGTGCAGTGGAAATATATTCAAGTTCTGGGTCGAGTTTGAAATAAAGTGTATCTGAATAAATTATGAAAAATATGTTAGGTTTTTATATAGAAAGTATAAATTATAAAATATATATTAGTTTTCTGTTTCTGACTTAAGTTGCTTTTACACATTTGTCAACGTATTTTTTTATAATTTCCTAAAAATAATTCTAAAGCAAGACATACATATATAGCTTAATTTTTCCAAGTTTTTTCTCTTTGCCAAATCCAAAATGACTATGTTAAAAAAGTGTTGCTGTTGCAGCCTGCGAACAGCCTCACTTGTAGTGGCCTATTTGACTTTTGTCATTGAAATCCTGCTCTGGGTCTGGTTATTCTTTCCAGAATGCGAAATTTGTGGTGAATTCTTAATCCTTTGGATCTTTGCTGCGTTTTGGAATTCCCTTTCGGCGGCTATTTTAATAGTAGCTGTTCACAGGGTAAGGGATTCTAATAGTAATAATATAATATAATATTTATTTATATCCTTTCAGGAAAATCCCAAACTGATTCCCGTTCATTTGGTGATGCATCTGAGTGGCCTTATTATAGATATGATTGGACATTTAAAGATTGCCTCCTCAGGTCACAATAGTTGGAGAACACTTGGGCATGCGATTTTCTATATTGGATGTTAGTGAGCCACAAAATTGGTTATTTTTGCTAATTATCAATTGTCCTTATATATCTTCCTGCTCCTTAGTCATGGCCACGGACATTGTGATTGCTTTGAGCTACTACCATATGGAAATTTAGTCCAGCATTATGATTATCCTGTAGATATCCTGAACACGTATCTAAATATATTATTTTATTGACAAAAGCAAGGACCTATAGCACATCATTTTAGCTAACATTCAACCCACTAAAAACTGTACCTCCTTCTATACATAGATAATAATTTGATAAGAGCCTAATGTTTATACAAATTTAGAGTGGGCCCGCAGGATCACCACCTGTCGGAGGTGCAAAGCTAGCCACCCCTATCGAGCAACCTCTCTCAACAACATATATATTTATGTACATACATGTTGCAACCTCAACTCGGGCGTATATATCCCTTTTTCAAGGACTCGCAGTAACAGCTGCCGAGCTGAGGAAAATATCAAACGCTGTCAGGCGTAAACTTGACAGGTAGCGAAGCAGGAAAAGTTCTCCCTATATTTTTTTTGTTGCTTCTTGGCCAGCGATCGGTGGAAAACAAGAAGGAGAAACCACCCTAAAGTTGCGACTTGAGTGCACTTGAAGAAAATTTATATAGAGATTTGTTTAATTAAATTTTTTATAATAATATAAGGTTTTTTAGAGTTAAAGGACAATTAAAACTTAAAAAATTCCTATGTATTCTGGCTAATATATGTATGTATATAAATATTTAAATTTCTTGTTAATTATTATATTTTTTTAAATAAATTTACATTGTAAAGAAACCATGATTTCCTATTTATTTTTCTTAATAAAATTCTCTAAATTAAGAGCTTGCAATCTTAACTTTTTTCTATATTTTTTTAAGGCCATTAATTTTATTTCCAGTGCACATATCGCTTTTCCAGGCAGATGAGGCAACTTTTTATGACGTCCGCAAGGTGTATTTGAACAGAGGGACGCTATGTTGCCGGTGTCGGAGTACCTTGCAGCCCATTTTGAGGTGGACAGGAAGGCGAATTCCGGCACATGCAACACCAGCAGTGCCACCTCCATATAGCCACCACCGATACCGATACCAATCCCGAGCCGTTAGGTCCTCCTTTATGGATGCACCACCACACTATCGTGTTTGCTTAGCAGGAACACACACAAAGAGTTGTTCTTGTGTGCGGCAGGAAAATGTGTTGCACCTTTTTTCCGTTTTTTTTTGCATAACGCCGCTTTCTGTTCCGCTCCAAACCGATCCGATATATGTCTGTCATCATTATTATACATATTTAAAAGACGACTGCGTCTCTTCCTCGCTGAGGTAGCAGCTGTGCCAATACAAGGCCCAACCTGGGCTTTGGGCTGTTCCAACGACAAATTATTGTTTGCTAAATGGATTTCGAGGACCGGTGTTTTATTCACCTGGGGAATCGGAATTTGAATCGTACTTGATTGGAGCACAGAGCTAAGCTCGGTGTTTGCTCAGCGATAAGCTCTGATGGGGTTCCACAATGACATCTTCCCTTGGGCTTATTTACATATAATTGAGGACTACGCCTGGGCCTTATCTGTCTAGTAATTTAAATAAGCTTAATTGTTGAAGGTCTTCTGGGTTCTACTTAGTGATTGCACTTAAGTTGGGCACGTTCGGGGGCCACGTGATGGAGCTGCTACCTAAATGTCAATGATTTATGATTTATATAGTTTGATGGGTTAAGTAATTTCCTTCTATTGGTTGGCAACGAACTTCGAGGAAAGGAAAGTTGTATGAGGAATGGTTGAAATATATGTTTATCGATTTTGTATCGATATTTGATCAGAAGGGGATTATTATTATTTACGGTCCCTGAGTTATAGATTAAATTGTAGCAGCCAAAAAAATGTTTTAATCGATACTTAAAGGTTGCGATAAATGTACAATTAATCGATATACTGTTGAATATATTGAACTGTGCCAAAAATTGTCTAACGATATTTTAGAGGATCATTCTTGGAAAAAAATAATACAAAAATGGTTAAAAATTTGGTTTTAATGATGTTTTAAAGATACACTCAAAAAAAACAATAAAATTACATAAAAATCATATTTTGAATATATCGATAATATATTTATTTTAACCTTAAATTCTATATTTTCCTAAATCCAAAGTTTGAATATATAACAAAAATTTCTAAATAAAAAGTTTATCATTTGATTATTAAAATTGGAATTAAAAACCCATTCTCTTTCATAAACCCCTTGATTTTATGATTTTCCCAGGTTCCAAATAGGTTCAACAGATCTCCATATAATACCTAGCCCTGTCACATTAAGGTGCGACTTCTCAGTTAAAGTCGATCATAAAGGTGATGGATTTTTAGGACTTGGGAGTGCACGAACCTACTTCGGGCAAGGCGTCACTTTAGAGCTCCGTTTCTAATCCGCAACATATGCTGCTATATGGACCACCACCACACAGTCATTCAGCATTCAACATTAAAACATTAAAGGAGCCAAAACGGTGGGCACTCACAAAAGAAGCCATAAAAACACATGGACACGTAACGATTTGCGCCGCCATTGCCGAGGCCCCAACTGTTGTGGATATATATATTTTTTTTTTGGTGCATTAGAGCTGAAACAGAAAATCCGGGAAGAGAGGGAAGAGCGACCTGCCCCCGGTAAGACAATTTATGACTTTATTAACTTCAAAACGCAACCAGGCGGGCAACAAAGTGTTAAGCCACGCCGAAGCCGAGATGCCGAAGCTGAAGTCAAACTCGAGGCAGCGGCAAGGCGATGAAGTTGTGTAAATGAAATTAATCTTCAATAGACACAGGGCAATAAACGAAACCAAGCATACCGGCCAGCACAGCCTCACAAATGCACTGGAAAAATAGTATAGGTAGTATTTGTTGTAGTAGTATTTTCCTAAGTAATTTAAATATTTTTTTAAATATTTTTTGAAGTCAAGAATATTACATTTTAAATTTAAGGAGATCAATAGAATCATAATTTGATCAAGATAATTATATTATTTTTTGGGATCAGAAAATTACATTTTAAATTTAATTCGAACAAACTGATAAATAATTAGTTCAAAAAATTACCTTATACATTTTTCAAGCCCAGAAAATAACCTAAAATATTTTTTTTTCCATAAAATGTATTTTTACATTTATTTTTAATTAAAATTTTAATAAAATATTTTTTTCTCAGTGCTTTCCGCACTGCCATTAGTCATTAAACAATTTTTCCACTGAAGCAGCCGCTTCCATCTCCAACTCCAACTCCTGGCGCAGTTGCTGCTGCGGCTGCTGCTGCTGCTGCCGTTGCTGCTGCGTATTTTGTCAGGTGTCATAAAAACCGAATTTATTGCGCATGTGCAGCGGCCATAAGAGAAGCGGTCTTCAAGCATTTTGTTACAGATTTTTAGTTTTATTATTTAATTTTCTCGCTGCAAGAGCATAAATCACGATGCGTGCCGCACTAAGGTGACAGCACTTTAGGGCACATAAACACACGCATCCACATCAGGATCGGAAAATAAGGTGAATCAGGATCGGAATCGGGATCAGAATGGCATGGCTGGACAATGGTTGCAGCAGGTTGCTGGAATTTTAATTAAATGGGATGCGGGTAGTTCCCTTAAAGGTGCATAAAGCGGTGGGGAAAAGGGCTTTGGTTTTTTGATTAATGGTAGGAAAATGAAAATATAAAATTTAAAAATTAGTCTCAAAAAATGTATAAACATTGAAAACAAATTTTAAACTAATTTCTAATATTTAGTCACCACTCAAAAAATAAAAGCTTAATTACAAATAATTTTCCTTCGGTTCAACAACTATTTTTTCTGCTAAAAAATATTCTTTTCGAAAATCAAAGCCCTTAGAATTTTATTTCCTCCATTTTGATCATTGTGACCCCATGTAGTTCCTACTAACCAACTTCACACGCAGTTTTTTGGCAAAAATCCCGAAATCTTTAACCAAAAACTTGAATTTCACACGCTCTCGCCTGCGGGTGATCTTCCCCTGAGTTCGAGTTCCCTCGACAAAGAGCACGTAATGGGGTTGATGCTGTTGCTGCTGTTGCCGTTGCACTTGTTCCCACAAAATTCCAAGGCATAGGCAATTTCCATGAATGCCAAACAGGCAAAAATTTCACACTCGGCGGCAAGTGGAACCCAGGAGAAAAAAAAAATAATAAAATAAAAGATGAAACGGACCTGAGAAACAGAGAATCGAAATTCTTCAACTCAATTCCATTTTGAAAACAGGAGACACAGAAAGAAAATAATATAAAAAATAAATTCATTAATTTATAAATAATATATTTATTATGTATATAAGATAAGTATAGAAATTGAAAGAATTATACCTTATTTCCCCAAAGATTTTAATAGTTAAAGGACTTTGAAATTAGACTTTTCTCTAAGTTATTTGGATTTTAAATTAATACAATTTAAATAGACAATTTTCAATCTTAAATAAAAATATAAAAATAAATATAAAGTCCACAAACCCTTAAAGAAACCTATATATTTTTATATTATATTTTTTAAGCCATATTTCCAAGTTGAAGTATGTAGTTTTAAGGGAAGTTGTTGTGCTTTTAATTTCATAAAATGTCAAAGGTAGACTTTCAACCTTAAATAATAATATTAAAAAAAATCCTAAAATTCTATACTAATGTTATATATTTTACACATATTTTTCTTTCCGTGCAGACATCAGCATAATCAACAAGATCACGCATCAAACGAGACGACAGCCGCATAAGAATGCAAACATTAAGAGATTTTATGCGAGTTTGTTCACATGCCAAAAAAAGAAAAGGGAGCAGAAGGAGTCGAACAAAGGAGCTGGAACAGGTACGCAGGACGATTATCCTGTCATTCACTTGTTGCTGCTGCTGCTGCTGCTGCCACAGAACAGGTAAAAAGGGCGGAGTCCAAAGACGAGTCCCGAACGGAGCAGTAACCCCGCCGAGCTGAAGGGCCGCAATTTCAGTTACACTTCCTGCAGATGAGGTGGTGGTGGTCCTGCCTCAGTTAGCGTGTGAACCTGTTTTTCCCTCTCTCCCCAGATTTTTTCTCTTTCGATGCTAATCTGTGGCCTCAAAAATGTTTGCAAATTTCTGTTGGCTTTTTTCGGGTTTTTCGGGGTTTTTGTCTTTCGCTTTTATAGATCCAAACTGGGTCTTTGGAGC